CTGCGACGGCCAGCAAGGCTTTTGACATCCGGGAGCAGTTTGGGGCACATTTATGCACTAGCCCGGCCTCCACCAAAGTAGGGTATTTGCCTTCGATGTGCGCTCACCGACGCGCTACTCAGAGTTCAGAAGAGAACGCCCTGAATGGCCACAAAGTCGTACGCTGAGATAACATGGCTTCACAGCAGCCGGTGAAAGTTTCGGCTGTGGAGATAGTGTTTCGGAAGCAAGGCTAGCCGTGTTTGATGGTTCAAAGCATCTACGTCATAGTCGAGAGACCCGAGACACGGTCTTGTCTTTTGCAGTTCCCCTTCGCGTTCGACGTTGCCTACCTCTCTCACTCGCACCTTCGCAAGGTGGTGATGGGGATGATCGCCTTGAGGAGGTCGATGATGATGATGATGATGATGATGATGATGATGATGATGATGGATAGTGCGGAGACTCACGGTACTAAACCCGTAATAAACCTTTCATGATAACTGATAATAACGATGAATCTGAAGAGGAAGATGAAGGGCATGACTAGCACAACAACAAGCATACCAAGCTCGTGCTGGGGACACTGCAAGATGGTCTCCATAGTCTCGACACAAAGCATTGCCCCTGCTCGCTGAGCTGCGTTTGAGCTGGCCGGCCATGACCAGGACCGACTTCACAGCTCGCATGCCGAAGTCGTAGTGGTCCTGTCACAGCCGAACCGAGGGGAATCCGACTTCGACGGCTGAGAAAGGCTTCATCAGGCCGACGAACATGCCCACAACAGACTTTCAGAGCCGTCGGCCGCCGACGCCGAGAAAGCGGAGCGCTCTCTGCACTGAGACAGCGGGGCTTCGGAGCTCTCCACTCTCCGGTCCTGCTTGGAGAGCTGCTCCGAGGAGAGGCTGTATAAGTTCACCTGAAAGGAGCTTGCAAAGCGGAGCTGGCGGAGAGCTCTAGGGGGCCGCTACGGGCGCCGCCGAGGCGCCATCTTCCGAGCGAGGGCCGTGGCGCTTCCGAAGCCCTGGGCCGGGGCGGGGCGGAGAGACCAAACTGCGCTTCGCCGCTTGCCACGCCACGCGCGCCGCGCGCGCGAGAGAAGTGCACGCCTCAGAGTAGAGGATGATCTCCGCAATGAGACAGTAGTCAGGGACCTCAGTTGCGTTTTCTGCGTCGACTCTGAGACCGTGCACGAACACGACTTGGAGAGCACCCTGGCCCTGGCCCCAGAGACTGCGAGAGAGTGAATAGTGCCCCAGAAATGCAAAACGGCGAGCGTCCATCATGGCCACAGGGCGGAAGAGGGACTTCAGGTTGTCCTGCACCGCCACTCTCCCTACTAGAAGCTTGTGCATCCTGCACACGCATTTGGGGATCTGCATTGACATGTGTTCCTTATTGACCTGCTGTCACCTCAGCGCATTTTTCCCTGAGCTCCGAAACTGAACAGCAAGAGTATCTCAAGGCCGTCCGGCAGCTCGGCACGACCAGCATAGCCGGGGTTCATGGTGATGAACACCTTGTCACAGACGGACAGGGTCTAGGGCCTAGGGCCTAGGGCCCTCGGTGAGCACCAACTTGGGCAGCGGCTCCGAAGCGCGGGTTCAACGGAATCTCGCGACCCACGAACTCGAAGGTCTCCTGAGTCTGAGCCGCGAGTGGCGTTTAAACCCAAGGAGCTTAAGCAGAGCGAAGTGCGGAGCGAAGTGCGGAGCGAAGTGCGGAGCGTCGCGTTGCGGCGTCCTTGCGAGCCCTGATGGCGTGGGTGACCGTGAGCATCTGCTGGGCGATGACCTCCGGCTGCGGTCTTCAAGGCAACCGAATCCCCCACTCTTCGGCCCCTCGCGGCGATGGCTTAAGGAAGGCAACCCGAGCATAGCAACGCTTCAGCGGAAAGCTGAGCCGTGAATTTGTCAGTGATTGAGCAGAAATATACAGGGTCACGAGATGTCACGAGGTCTTCCTTGCAAGCCAGGTCCATGACGGTCCTCCTGGGGCCCTGGCACTCAACACCTCCACCTGACAGAGTCGCCAGAGCAACTGTGCATGCGACACCACAAACTCCCAGAGGCTTGCATCATGTCAAGCCCTGCTGTCCAGGGATCTAAGAAGGCTTCATGCACCTGTGTGGTTGGATGTCAATGTGCCGTGCTCCAAACGCTCAAACGCCGTCTTGTGGACTCGCGTGTTCTTGTAGACACAGAGTTGGCTTTCGCGCCTGGATGCGGTTGAACTCATCGAAGCAGGCCCAAGCGCCGGCCTTTCAAAGGCTCGTTCGAGGGAGGTTTTGCGGGCAGTGCTGGTGCCGTGGCCTGGGCCAGACCACTGAAGAAGCGGCCCATGATCTTGTAGTCCAAGCCTCCGCTTCCCCTTAACCCGACCCCTTATCCTGCGGAACAACTCAAGCGGCAGCCCCGTCCGTCGGAGCAATTGAACACGATAACGGGAACCGCCAGAGCTTTGCCCAGATCCTTCGCAAGGCGAGCTCTTCGCGGTAGCTTAAACTACCAGCGTCGCTTGAGGGCTGTTCGCGGGACTCCAGCCTTTGCCCTTGCGCTCTGGCCGTTTAATCCGTGCTTTTATCGTTTCTCTGTCTCCTCGGCAGCTCCTCAAATGTCTGACTCGCTCAGATCCCTCATGTCAGGCTCTTCTGTGTTCATGGTGCAATCACCACTGCTGACAGACTACGAGTTGCCATCCTGGAACACAATTGTGGCAGTTGTCTTTACATGCTGCATGAGCCTCGTTCATAACTAGAGCTTCTTCGTGCCAATGTGCAAGGGCACGCGTGCTGTCAAGGGGTGTGCTCGTTCGCTTAGCAGCTCGACTGTTGGATCCGTTCGCAAGCGGGTATGGGACTGAGTGGCAATGCGGAACAGAGCCCACCGAAAGCCTCTCTCTCTCGCTGTAAGGTCTGATGGGGCTTTCGCCACCTTTCATTCGTTTGGTCGCCACCCCGCATTTCTCTCTGGGTTTTTAATTAAAAAAGTCAACAAACCTCGGTTGAACCACGGCAGTGACCACAATTATAGTAGCTATGATGGCGATAACCATTGCACAAAGAATAATCATGAATAATCGGAGTAACCCTAGTGACTATATACAATACTACCCTCTATGCGACAAAGACTCAGTGCCTCTTTTCGCGACTCGACCCTCACTCTGCGGCAGCCCTGCGGTCGTACGGCGCACGGAAAAGACCTGGTCTGCAGTGACGGAACATTCTTCGGCAATTCTGCATCATTTATGGACATGTCCTGCCGGTGAAGTGCGGCGGCGAAGTCTAGTGTGAGCTGGTCAGGACGTGCAGGATGATTGCTGCTCACTGGAAAAAACCGGCGATCATAGTCTGCTTATGGGGACCTGTTAGCAGTTCGCAACAGGAGGTTGTGTGCAGCACCTGTGCCGCTGTTCAGTGCAGGTCGCGAGTCGCGGCAAGCGTCTGTCTCCCTGCTAGCTGCTAGCAGCCCGATGACACCAGGCAGAAATGAGAAGCAGAAGCAGAAGCAGAGTCCTTGGTGGTCTCGGTCTTCCCCGTGCCCGCGGGTCCGGCAGGAGCACCTCCGGTCAGCCGCTCGGTGCCGTAAGCAGAGCAGCTTTTACTTGCCGGGCACAGCAGAAACTTTCCCGGAGGCTCTCCACCAGTGGAGTTTCGGCCCGGACTCGCGGAATCTTGGGCCAGCTGCACCCCAAAAGAAGGTCGTTCCGGCCTCCGTAATTGAGGTGGATGGCGCCGGTCAGCGTCATGTAGCACCTCAACTTCCGGGAATATGAAGGGTCTCGAACAGAGGCAGAAAATCTGTTGCTCTGGCACGCCCTTATGCTCATCCTTTCCCGGTCGACCCGAAGCGCCCTAACCGAAACCCAAAGTCGTCCAGGACATACTGGATTGCAAGCTTCGCGGTCTTCTCACAGCAGCGGAAGACTAAAACCCACACGAGAGTAGAGAAAGCCCTGGCACTGGACGTGGCTAAGCCCTAAGCCCCCCGGGCACAATCGAAAGAAACGAGAGCCCCGGCACCGCAGGGACGGCGCCGTCCCGGCCCAGACAGCGAAAAGACCGGGAAAAGATCGCCGGAAAGAAATGCCCCGGCACGGTGGGGTGTGGCATATCTCACACGGATCTGTCATGCAGAAGAATGAGGAGCACGGCTGAGCTCGGCACTTGTCCGTCAAGGGCGTGACAACCAGACGTGGAGTGTTGCCCAGGTACTCGAAGGAGTACCTGGCTGGTGGCAAGATCTGCTGCCCCGTTTTGGGATGCTCCGCCCGGGGCACCGAATGTTGGCGATGGTTTGCTTGACGATGCAAGTATCGGAGGTCCGTGTTCCATCTGACCTTGGCGGGGGCAGAGCCAAAGCATGCCGTCGTGTGCGACGCTGGCGACGCGTGGCCCCTAGCGCCATTTCGCAGCTCTTGAAGCTCTTGGGCGAGCACATTAGCACCTGACCAGGCATGCAACTTCTCCCCCAAATGCTCATATGCTGCTTGCACAGGAAAATTTCTCGTGCCTAAGGTGGAGGCTCCGGGAACCCAAGGAAGGAATGGACTCCGCAACTTCGCCTCCTCCATCGCCCAGTAGTATCGAAGCTGCTTGCTCCAATCGAAGTCATTGACAGACCTCCGGCTCGACCGCTCCAAACGGCTCGGGAGTCCAAGGGGCAACAGTCACATGTCGCAATCTCGATACATGAAGGAGCAAGGCTGGCTTTCTTTGAGACCACAAACTGAATGCAGAGGCCGTCGGGTTGGGCAGTTTCGAGTGCCTGCACTTCGCAGCGTCAATCTGCTCCAGGACGGAGATGCCGTGGACCTTCACACGCAAACAGCTTTCCAGTCGCCGAGATCGACGCGGACGTGAAGTTGAAAAACCTCCGAAAGCCGCGTCTTCTGGTGATTCTGTTTCTTCTGAAACAAGTTATAACAGCATGCAGGGCCGTTGGGAGGATCATCACCTTCGAACGAGGCGCAGCTCAACAAAGCTGTAAGCGTCACACATCCAGGACAATCAGCGCACCCATCAGTACCTGAACAAGCGGAATCCCTTTGGCAGGTGTAAGGCAGGCTCAGAGGCGTTGCAAACTGTAACAAGGTCCCTCGAAAGATATAGCCTCCCTTGATCATCGGAGTCCGATACATGCTTTGCAACATTTAAACAGCACGAACTGCAAAGCACCACGACGGAAAGACAAAGCAAATGGTGCTCCTTAAACTGCGAACCTACTGCCTTGCGTCACATGTGTAAACCTGGGCCATGACGGAAGCCGCAGAATGCCCTTTCTACTGAGGCTCGGTCTCGCTGGAGCTTCGTCAGATCCAGGCGCACGAGTTCGACGCTGTGCCTGGCTTTTCATCTTTACAAGGTGCATATCAAGGTTGATTAGAGGGATCTCGGAGGTTTGAGCCACACCCAAGCTTCGGGTGTAAAGTGCGCATCAACCTTTGAGGCTGCTGCTCCAACTGCTTGTTGGTGAAATTGATGTTGGCCCGCATCGCCTGGGGACAAGCTTCCGAAAGGCTCAAAACTCGCACATCAACAAAGCAAATATAAATAGAAATCCAAAGTCTGAAAGCCAAAGGCGTCCAAAACATGCGCCTCGTGGTTCCCCTTCTCCACGAGGTTCAGCGCGTCTTCCGCGCACTTCGTCCACATGATCTGGTCAACGGCCAAGGCCTGGCCGATGGGTGTGGAAGTCGAGCTCCCAAAGACACTCCGGAGAAGGAAAACAAAGGCAAAGCCATGCGATGCACACCGCTTGCGCAGGGAAGGGCCCAAAGAGCCAGTCCTTCCTGACGATGCCATCCTGGAAGGCTGATGAGGTTCTGGTTCTGTGCTTCTACAGCTTTACGGAGATACTCTGTGGCTAAAGCATCTTCATTCCGACAAGTGCGCAGAACAACATGCTCTATGTCGTTCTGCGGATGTGCGCATCACATGCAAGCCTTTCGCCTCCGGGCACTTAGCTTGCATGGCTGTGCCTCAGGTGTGGGAGGTGCACCTGTTCCTGTGCAGGTACTGCTTGCGCATGCCGAGCGTCCAAAGCCTGTTTCAGTTGAACCAATTTGATTTTAATCGCTTGAGTCCCCCATGCGAACAATGTGTTGAGGAAACCAGACTCTGGACCTCCCTCCTCCTGTCTTTGCACGACACTGCGCTTCAGCTTGCAACAACCCTGCAAAGATTGTTATTGCGAGATGTGTCCCCAGGAGTTCTCAACTCAAAGTGGTTCGATTGACTGTGAGAATATACCATCGAAACCCGTGCTTTTGCACTGCTGCGAGTTTAGAGCTTGTGTCAACTTCATAGACTTAAAGACTTAGAGTTGCCTTCATGCGATGTGATGCAGATGTACGTGCTTTGCACAAGAGTGGACTTGCTCCACACCTCCCTGGTGTCCTCTGGGTATGCTTCCACGGCGGCCTGCATCGCGGCTCACACAAGGCCCTCAACCTTGAATGCTTAAGCCTAAGGGTTGGCAGCGAAGTTTCGTAGGCCTTCGTCAGAGCTTGAAGGCTCTCCACCATGCGCATTTCGATCTGGCCGAGCCTGGAGCCACAAGGACGGGCAACTGATCTGCCAGGGGAATGGGGCGCTGTGGTAAATTCCCCTTATGCATTATAAGTTTTAGTTAGTCATCTGTCGTCCAGTCTAGGGTACGAGCCATCGCTCGACCGGAGAGCCGGTTGTCTGCACCGGGCTGACGAAATGAACCTGAAGAGCCAGTCGGACACACGTAAGGTGACAAGGTCCGAAACGTGTGCCACAAGCCATCACACGAGCACCCACGTGCCTTCTCTTTGATCATGTCGCTCATATCGACAATGTCCTTCTTCTTGTCCTGCCGGATTGACCAAGCTGCCATGCACAATGCATGGCTCGTGTACGCGGGTCTTCCTGGCAACAGCCGAGGCCTAGGGCTCCGACCTGGACGCGCCAGACGCAAGATGCACTCCAATCGAAACGATGCGGCTGCGATCAAGCCCGTTGAATGCTGCAGTCTCTCCTCGGTGAAAGTGACTTTGCTGATGGCATCGAAGCACTTACCTGGATGGCAGGGATATGCTGCCTGGTCACCATGCCGGCCATCGCACGGCACTCGCAACGTACACTTCAATCTGAAGCATCTGCAATCGAGTCTACGGCTACAAACACCGAAGAGAAAAACCGATCGGGTCAGGGCACACATGGGCACACACGAGCCATGGCATGCAAGCCGGAGAGGGCTCGGGTGGGTTTTGGGGGTGGCACGGGCACGGGCTCTAGCGGAGGCCAGGCGGAAGCCGTCGACTGTCCATGCTGTGCCAGGTCACCGAGGTGCTCCTGGACCGCTTCCGGATTCCTGCACGGTCGTGGAACACCATTCTACTCACGCTTGCTGCCACCACCTATGCCAAATTCCCATAATTGCGAAGTTCAGACAGTCCCTAACCAGAGCACTCCGAATCTACTTGACTGACACATACTAGTAGCAAGCACACTGCAAACCTGGTTATTGGCGGTGTTATCCGCCGACCCCCTTGTGGGCGGCGCCCGTGATATCCCGAGAGGTCACCGCCTTCACCGCCTTCACCGCCCCCGCCGCCTTCACTGCCCTCACCAGTCGGGCAAATGCTGCATCTCCCCATTTTTCCTCGTCAACATGACGGAAGATGCAGGCTCCATCAATATGGAGCTGAGCTGGTCTGGCACGATGACTAGCAAAATCCGGGTGCCACTACTCCGAAACAACATCCTCCCATCGGCAGGCGATCATTTGTCCCAGGTCATGCCGAAGAAGGCCACTCGGGATGATCTTGAGATGCCAGCTGCACCCAAGAGATTGAGAACCAAGCAGTAGGCGCACAGAGCACATGCATCCGATCTCGGGGGCATGCCCGACCCACCTAAAGCTAAATGTATATGTTTATTATCATATATGTATATCGCTCGGCTGCCTTGAGGTGTGGCTTTCGTTACATGTCTGCATTTTGCTCAGCAGACATGGATCCATGCGATTTCTGTCTCAGAGAAGACTTCCCGGCACAGAGGTTTGAGTGGTGTGCAGCAAGAAATGTACCTGCAGTGCTTTGCAATCTTTGTATATAGGTGTCGCTTGCAGGGCTTTCAGCTCGCAGGCAGCTCTGCATGCATGTGCATGCAGGAGATGTGAATGCACATGCTGTTGTGCCCAGCTCGCTCTCAAATGTATCTAGAAGTCTCGCATCCTTTCATCCGTCCCATTGTCGAGCTCAGCATGGACGACCTTCGCATCCAGCAGAAGTATGTGGTTCAGTGGTTCAGTTTGGCAAGTCGTGTCCCATCGTTCCGACTCAGAAGCTCGTGCAAGGGGTTCCCCTCATTTGCCTGCAGAAGTGGGACCGAACCAGTGTCAGATTGCTTTCCGGAAAAGCACTAGATCTGAGAAAGCAGAAGAAGGACACTGCAGGATCCTTGGCATGCTCAGCATGGGACGAGCTCTTGGAGCTACGACAAGAACGTGCAAACATGCTGCTGCAGGGTGCCCTGAAGGAGGAGTCGGAAAACCCCAAGCCCAAGAAGGAGAAGCCTGTTCGAGCACAGTCCAAGCATGCCGTGATGCTCCCTTTGTCGATGGAGGTGGAATTCCATGGCCGGTCCATTACCATGCTGTTGGAGGGGTTGGGGTCGTCTGCAGTTTGGGTGGCATTCACAGAGGACAACATTAAGTTTCTGCGGGACAAGTGCATTTCCAGCGAGTCCACTCCCAAGAAGAAGAGAAAGATTGCCAAGAAGGGTAAGAAGCAGGACGACAACGAGGAGGAAGCCGCTGATAATGATGACAATGAGGACGAGGGCGAGGAAGAGGAAGAGTGAGTTTTTGTGGTGCCCAGTTCGATGGCCGGCTTGATTGGGTATAAAAACTTGAACATGAGCAAAGAGAGAGATGGAGGAGAGAGAGAGAGAGAGAGAGAGAGAGAGAGAGAGAGAGAGAGAGAGAGAGAGAGAGAGAGAGAGAGAGAGGGAGAGAGAGAGGGAGAGGGAGAGAGAGAGAGAGAGGAGAGAGAGAGAGAGGGAGAGAGAGAGAGAGAGAGAGAGAGGCAGAGTGAGTCAGTGAGTCGATGCCTCAGGCGCCAAACTGTTTGCATGCTGTGTTCCATGGTGTGCAGCTCTTCATGTCGTTGCTGATTTGCAGTTGAAACACTCGATCGTGGACCGATTCAGGCTCTTTTGTGGGTCGATGCATGCATGCATGCATGCCGGCATGCACACTTCAAACATCCTCTTATGCAGGCTGCATGCACACATCAGGTCGTGGCCCACAATGCAATGCACATATCAGGTCATGGGCCACAGGCTGGCATGCACTGCATGCACTTTTTAAAGACTTGAGGGCTTGTGGGCTTTCCGGTGCAGCCATGGCTTGCTTTGCCATGCGATGGTGTGGCATGCCTCAGGTCGGGGTTTTTGGAGACTTTGCATAAATGGATCGTATATCTGTCTTGCCTAGGACGACGAGCACAAGATGGTGCAGACCGCCGGCATGGAGTTTCACGACCTGCTGCCGGTACGAGGACCCCTCAGATAAGTTTACTTCGCCCGGATCGTTCCCAAACACTCTGGCCAGGACAGAAGAAGTTCCGGTGGCAGGTCGATGTCCCCGGTGGGGGTCGGCTTCGCTGGACCAAAGGGGGCTTCCACATCGACATCATGAGTGACCCTCCACAGCTGTCGGTGTGGTGGAACGATTCCGACAGTGAATCGGTTCCAGTGAAAGGCGAGACTTTGAGTGCTTCTTTTCGGATTTACATCAACATGCATCCCCGTCAGGATGGATGTTCTGGGACAACAAGGCCTCCAAGTACAGAGAGAGCATGATCGTGATAGAGGCTTCCTTTGTTCGGATCCTGTTGTGTCTTTTTGCACACATATTATATGAAGTCGCTTCGTGTAGGAGCTGACCGCCTCTGAAGGGAACTTGGAGGCGGGTTATACTTGACTTGAGTTTTGCTGCAACTATATAGGTGTGCTTGTTCCTTGGCAGGATGCATCACCAGCACCCAT